GCTCTCGTCGCTCTACAGTAAACCTAACCGAAGAGATAATGCTTATCGCAAAATTTGGTTTACATATATAAGCACCGTGCAAGCTTGGGCCGTATGCGTGTGTATATTCGGGATCAACGGAATCAGTAGGATCAGAGTACTTAGCAACCTATCTCTTTCTCTTTGTCTTTGTCTTTCTTCTTTCTCTCATTCGCACAATATATCCTCTCTCTCTCTCTTACCTCGATCCTGTAAACGAGCCCCAGTTAAGCTCTTTGTATCCGCTTTAACCAGTCCCTCTCCGCTTCATCTCATCACGGTATATACATTTTAATAAGAAACCATCTCATCACATAATTTCAAGATGCCACTAACCTTTCCGCCTTTCGTTTCTCCATCCAACATTAGTCCTGCCACCTTGTCATTTCCTTTCTCTCTTCTGTCACGCTTTTCACATGTCTTCTTGCCAGTTTTCCTGTATAATTATATACAACATCGTCTATGTTTTCTGAGTTCAGGAAACCATAAATGCGATTTAACGCCGATGATCGGCTTACACACAGTGCTTTAAAATCAATTTCGAACAAAGTATTTATTATACCTATGCGAATTAATAGTACAATGCATATGCGTATTATTTTTTTTCCTGTAAATATATCATAATAATATATGTATGGTTGTTTTTAATACGTTTAATAACAAAGTCAATACCTAACTACATCTCTAAAACGATTATTGTTTTTTGTGATGATCTATCAAAACTAATAATGATCATCGCGTAAGAATTATTTTATCCTATAATATTATTATATCGATAACATTCTATACACATTACATATGTCTATATATTCAATCCCATTCAGGAAAATTTTGAATTACATCAGTTCAGATTTAAACTTGCGCGACTTTATGTTATTTTATATACTAACTATTGATTACAGTTATTGTATATTTTACTATACTTATCTGTGATCAAACGTTCCATAATTCCGAAAGATACAATACAAAGAGTACGTTTTTATCCGATTTGTTTTAATTTAAATAAGGAGATTTAGAATCTAGGTTACATAAAGTACTTGTGCAATTTTAAATATCTACCTAATTAATTTTTTTGGATAATCTACTTTATAGTAGTTTTGTAAGTAAATGTTTTAAAAAACTATAAATACTCAGAATTTTTTAAAATAAATTCAATTTTTTTGATTGTCAGTTATTTTTTAATTTTACCAAGTTTACCGCACAAATTACATATATATTAAGAAAATTATTGATTAAAATTAAAATTATAAAAAATATATATTAATTTCAGACTTGACTATACTTTAAACCTAACCTATCACTTTTTGTTTTACTTTATTTTAATAGAAATATACTTGATTATACGTAAAAATATTTACTTCTCGATTTAACTTTAAAATACCTGTATTAGTTTATACTTCATTTTCATTGATTAATATTATAATTGATTTTTACAGACATTCTGTTATTATAATAAAGATAATCTGTATTAAAATGAATATACATTACAACGAATCAAAATAAATTATTGTAAATGTAAAATTAATGATCAATGTTAATTGTATTTGTATATGTAGAATTTTGAAATATAAACTTATATTTTACTTGTTGCATTTTTGTAATGTAAATATTTTAAGAAATTTTATGCAAACGGAAATTAAAATCAATTACACGCTAGAATCTCTGTATAATATTAGTACGAGAAGTATTACTACTAACACTTTAATAATAATATTTAAGTTATCATAAATTATTATAAGATTCATTACAGTAACAATCAAATATATTATAAATTGTTTCAAATATTTTGAAGTATATAATATATATAAGAAAAAAGTATGTAACTAAGTGATCATTTTCTTGTGCAGTAAGTGTCCAGTGTGTCACTATATATGTTAAATTGTATTGTATATTTATATTGCTATTACAGTATTCTATTTTACTATTAACACTACAGTAGAAACTATATAGATTAAATTTGCAATAACTTGAATTCAAGTTGATATAAATAGTGTTGAATTTCAAAAATATTAAAAAAAAAAAGTTGTTATTTAGACAATGTATAAATAAAGTCCTCTTTCCTTACAACCCTAGCAATAAATGACATTACATAAATTACAAATTTGCAAATAATCTATTCAAAGCAATAAAACAAAATCTGATTTACACCAATGGATACAAATAAACTTGATGAATATGAATAATAAAATAATTATATATATTTTTTAAAAATCACTGAATTATTCAACAAAATCTAATACTTTGCTATATTATACTAAAAAGTACCAATTTAATATTAGGTATATTCATGATTTACATTCACTATAGGTGAAATTATTTCTATTTTTTTCTCAAAATAACGTATTTTTTTCCCTCACAGCCACATTACATTTAATATTGTAATTATTTCATCAATGCTGTCACGAAATCAAATTTTATTAATGGCGTTTGCAGCCGATCTTTATTTATGATCAACACGTATATACATATACATACATATATATATATATATATGTTTAAATATTTAAATCTTAGAAAAACAGAATAATGTTACTCAATGTCACAGTGTTTCTTCATTATGTAGTAACATCCATACTACAAATGTAATATTTTATAAAAACATACGTAAATAGCTTAATAATCTACGCGTTAAAATAATTAATAATGTGATTAATTTTTACTCATAAACGCTGCGAGACCTCGATTTGTTATTCAAAGTTTGATGTAAATATTTATTTATTTATTTATTTTTTTATTTTTTTAATATAATAATAATATAGTAAAGCTATATATACGTACTTGTATTATTATAGCGGCTGTACACGCGTTACGTTTTTGTGGAATGAAAAAAATATTTACCTACTTAAAGAGTATCGATCTATCTGAAAAAGTATACTTATATTAACAATAAGAGCTGATTGTGTTATTTTAAAAACAACCTCGTAACCAAATAGCATCCCCTTCAGAAAAAAAAGCGAAAACAACCACATCCTGACAACATTTGTATATTCCACATTACGCGCCGGATTCACGCGTTTCCGGTATCAAATCTTTGTGGCATTTAACACAATACCAACCAGGCGAAAACCGAACACACGGTGTATCTCGCTTATTATTGTTTTTTTTTTCACCATCCATAAAGAACTACTGCTCTGCCCTGTATTCCGTTTCATTCAACAAATCAATATTTCGCGTTGGAGAGATAACGTTTTTCACACAACGGCAAAGCCACGCGACAGTTATTAAATCTGGTAAAAATTTCTTCTTAAAAACAGATAACGAGATTTTTTCCGCTCCCCTTGCTTTCATTTGGATAGCATTATTATTATTTTTTTCGCTCTTTCACTAACCGCGTGCCACTCCGTGTCTCCCGTCGAGCCCGGTTGGTTCTGTTTTTCATTTCCGTTTTCACCACGAAAGGGTGGTGAGATGCCCGTGCGTCGCAGCCGATCCGGTTATTTGTGTTACACGTACAAACGCGGCGCTCAGTTTCTTCCGATAAGAGCTTATTATTATATTATTGTCGACACCGTCAGTGAGAGCAAACCACGCCGGCTAATAATGGAAAACGTTTTACACCTCCGCGTAATATATAATATCATATAATAAACACCAACCAGTCAGATAGACACGTACGATAGGTATACTTTTGCCTCGAGACCCGCTACCAACACCGCATTGTTTATCGGGCTGTCAACTTTTGGTTTTGAAAAGTTTTTCCAAAGTGTCATCTCCGTTTTAGCGGAAAATCCGGAGAAGGGACTCTCCTCGCGAATGCCACTGCAGACGTAGGTGCATTATAGACGCCGGATGTGTTGAGACGAAACGCTATCTCACTAGGAAACGCTGGATGGTTTCTGCTTTATTTGTTGTTATTATTATTTTTTTTTTTTTTTAATCTTCAACTCGGCGGTTATATACATATAACTTTTGATACGTATGCCAAACGTCATCAAAAGTGAAATTTTATGTGTGTTGATATAATATAATATAATATTATAAATATTTAAGAAGCTTGTACTTAATATACATACATACTACTCGAACCCTAATTATAATCGCGCAACAATTCGATTTTCTACTCGATGTACTCCTATACAGCAACACAACTGAACTGGAAGTGAAATATCATAGTCTATTATAGGTATAAAAACAACACTGACAACGGTGTTTAATTAATTGCATTCCATTGCGCTTTGAATTATTTTAATAATATGTTATTTTTAATTTTAATTTAAAATTAATTTATGTAAATATTCATCTTTTACAATTATAAAATATCATAACATTGCTAATTGAAAAACTTACTAAAAAAAAAAAAAATATATATATCGGCCATACTTGTATCTAATAATGGATCAATTTCGAATAAAAAGTATTTAATATACCAGTTATTTCAATAATTAAATCGTTAAATATCTTTAAAAAAAATTGTATGTACATGTAAATAGTTTTTTTTTTTACAACGATTTATTAAAAATAATCAATTTAGGTAGGTATACTAATAAATCTATCTAAAAAAATGTCTAGATAGTTGCAAAATATTTGATTAAAAATAAATTATTTAATAATTAGTTTAATTATTGCCAATTCATCATATTATTAACTCTTAATATTTTCACTATTTTTATCGAATAATAATTAATTTTACAAAAATCAGTGTTGTTCCCAAGATAGTTATAGATAAGCAGACCATAGTTTTCAAAGTGCTTCAAATGAAAATTTAATCCGTCCTTAAAACTCCGGCCTAAGAACCGTGTCTGAAACCCGTTTTTAGATTAGAATGAATATAGATCCAACTGGCTTAAAGCTTAGTCGAAGAATTATAAACTAAACTCTGTAGATTAATATTAACATTATAAATACGTCTTTGCCTGATACACATAATAATAATAATATGCGCAAACGCGTATTATGTAATGAATAGTTATATATTGTGTACTATCATCGATTGTTTTTACATCATATTTTATTCTTAAAAAAGCATTGCATTATTTTTTCAGCGAAATCCATACCTGTACATTGCATAGTTGAATCGATAAACCATGTTTACCAATGGAGCCAAAAGCACTCACCGTCACTACATCGATCAAAAGGCCACGTAGAATTGGACAGATTTGTTATCATTCCAAATAATACTGCATTTAGAGACTTGACAGAAACCGCGTTAGTACGCTTGGGCTATTCTAAGGATACAGCAGCGGCCTCGAAAGGCTTGGTGGTGCTTAAAAACTGGTTACCTTTAGATCTGGACACAATCGCTGAGGATCCGGTATTGACAGTAAATGATGTTCTTGGAGAACTCACCACTTTAGCCACTCTGAGAATACTCGTGTTCAGGTATATTTTCATAGTGGTATATATTAAATTTTATTAAATAATTAAATATTTAATTGGCAATAACCAACTATGAGCGAGATTTTTTTCGACTAAAAACGTATCCTTCCCTTTTCGGCCGATTCACTTTCCAAACAAAATCGTATTCTTCTTTTTTCAGTCAAAACAAAATTGTATGTAATGTATGTAAAAAAATAAAAAATTATTGGTATATAATTTTTTTTTTTTTAATTAGGGCATTTGTATAATTATATAATTTTGAAAATGATTAAAAGTATAAGTTACATACAATTTTGTAAAATAAAATGTGGAAAATGATTTAAAATATAATAATATTTTGATTCGTTAACATCGTTTTTGTTAATATGTGAAAACCTACTTATGTGGTTTAAATTTTAGTTTTTTTATGCAATATTATACATATTACATACTGTGACATATTAACATAAAAATAATATTAATGTATAAATATTCTTATATTTTAAATTATTTTCAATATTTTATTTTATAACAACTTATACATTTTATTCTTTTAATTATTTTCATAATTATATAATTGTCCTAATTTTACAAAATATTATAATCCAATTATTTTATTTTTTTTTTACATGTATTATATACATTTTGTTTTGGTCGAAAAGGGAATCCGTGTTTTTTTAAATTTGGTCGAAAAATAAATCGGCCAAAAAGAGAAGAGTGCGTTTTTGTTTGAAAACGGTTATGCCCCCAACTATAATACTGTTTTGATATTGTCTTTTCAGAGAAGCGAAGAACCGATTCTCCGATTTGAAAGATAAACTGTTAAAACTGCTATTGGTACAAAGCCAAACACAGTTAACAGCTTCGGGATGTCCCCTGGACGAAGCGATAATATTACAGATGATGAAGGTGGGGCAAGCTTGTCCGGATTTCCCAGAAGATTTGTACAAAAAATTCGAACAATGGTGGATAATGCAATCGTCAAATGTCGTTCCCAAAATACAGCCCTCGGTATTACCGCAATCAGTGAGAGACATGTTTTATCGTAACGGATCGTCACCGAGGCAGTCTAATATGCAAGACAACCCCACTAATTGTATTGTTTCTAAATCAGACCCTAAGGCACACAGTCTTCAGGTGATTTAATTCACACAATAATTAAATTATACAATTATACAATCCGTGTTATATTTACCGTATTTAACACATTGTGTAGTTGTGTTATCTGGATATAATTGTGTTGTTACTAATTAGTAATATGATTTGAATCGCATCAACAAATATTTATATATGTATATATATATATTTTAGCCCGTTTCTCAAAATCAGTTCCAAGGTCAAAAAACGCGTATGCGCACTAGTTTCGATACAGAACTCGAACTTCCAAAATTGCAAGCTTGGTTTGCCGAAAATCCTCATCCAAGTAGACAACAAGTATGTCTATTGCATTTGAATTGCACTTATATATACTATGTATAGTATTATTCTTATTATGATTTAATGTTAATATTATTTGTGTTTGATATTATTTTAACAAAAGATACACCACTACGTGAGTGAATTGAACAATTTGGAATCGCGAAAAGGTCGTAAGCCGTTGGACGTCAACAATGTCGTATATTGGTTTAAAAACGCCAGGGCAGCACAAAAGCGGGCTGAAGTACGCGGCACAAATTCAGGTCAGTATACTTACATTACAATATATCAGTAGCGTTGTAAAAGATTTGTTCTATACAAAAAGCTGTGAAAACTACAAAACACACCTTTTTTGTTGCTGTTTGTACACTTCTAATTACTTGGATTGTAGTTGTATTTAGGTGTTACAAATACTACCGTATAATAAATAATTAAAAAAAAAAAAATAAAAATAATAACACTTATAAATATTGATTTTTAACCTACTGATTTTTGAATAAACGCCGAAATACGTTAAAATTGAATTTTTAAGATATCTTCTTACTGAAAAAATGTTATTGTTTTTTCAATTCTGAATACGAATTAATCATTTTTCTCTCTATAAACTTAGCTAAACAATACTAAACTTTACGTTAGACTTAATAATTATAATAATACTACTGCTTTAAAACATAATCTATAACGTATCGTCTTAAATATTTGATGGTTCATAACATTATTATGTATTGTTCAAATTATATTCTTGGAAATAATAATAATATGTACTGAGTTAATTTCTCCATTCCTGTAAACATTCCAACTATGATGTTGTAAGTACGGTGTTTGACTTTGAACTATTCCGGGTAAAATCAATCATTGATTTTTCATCATAATTAATGAAACCCCATTCTGGCCTGTACAAGAAAATCCCATAGTAGGGTTGAGTCTATAATTACTTCATTGTGCCATAATACATCAGTATATATTATATATTAACCACTGTTACACTTATAACGTAACGTTGAATACGACCCGTAATCCGTGTAAAATAATGCGATTTGGCTATATCGTTTTCATCACTCGGCCGACCGACAACGCCTATTTCTCATCACAGTAAAGCATTTGTTATTGCCTACTCGTTATTAAAATTTCGCGGTATTGTAGGCGCCGCAGACATGAACTCGGGGAACAACGACGGAAACGTGAACGGTTACTGTAAGAGCAGCAGCCCCAGCGAGCACGGCGGCAAGTCATATAGCGGCCAGGGGTCGGTGAGCGAAGCCGAAGACGACGAAGACGAAGAGTTCGACGACAACCGGGACGAAGACGAAGACGACGACGACACAAAACCGCCGATGAGCCCGCCGGCGGAACAGCCGATATCGTTGACTACGCACGGGCGGCTTAGTAACGGCGAAACGCAGTCGCCAAGACCGCAATCCCGCAGCTCACAACAGAGCCCCGAACACAAGGTAAGGCATTGATATTATAACAAAATGTCGTCTAACAAATAATTATGATTATAATAGTCTGATGCTGAGTTGACATTTTATCGGATAACATTCGTTTCCGAGTACGTTTTTACGGGTATCGCTTTATTCCGAGATCGTTCGCATAATAAAGTTAATCTGCAGGAAGTTGGTATACATACTCGTTTACAGACGGTGGATAGGTCAGAATTGCTGAAAAATTGTGAAGATATAATATAATTTTAATTCAACAATAATATCATAATCTTTTTGTTCTCTATATTTCCTATGATAATAGTGTGTCTAATAACTAAAATAACAAAAATAATGACTAAACATAATTGTTCTCTCAATTTTATTTTTAAAATCTTTTCTTGACTTTTAAATAATCTTTTATTAATTTAAAAGAAAATATACCGCTTTAAAATGATAAAGTCACTATAAAATATATTTGCAGTACTTAATAATAAAAAAAAATGACTGGGTATTCGCACTGTTAACTTTATAAGATTATTATTCTCTTTATAAGTGTATTAAGTTCACAGCTCTTCATTTAAATCGAATACAAATATCATAGTAAATATTTAATGATTATCCGTAGACCCGGGATTATTTAGCCTGTGATGTAATATTAAAAATGTATCTGGTTAAATAAATATTCAAACATTCAACAATTGACATCGGCATTTTAATATATTATATTTTAATAAAAAAATTAGTTTTCAAGGCAGTTCTAAAATGAATTATATCAGATGATAATAAGTCACACAAACAGTATTCATGTATAATAACTATGACATTCACCAAATAATTTAACATCACGTTTAATTTGTTGAATTTTTTAGCATTCGTTAGTGAAGTTGAACACAGTTTTTAATATTGTTGATCAATTTACAGATAAATATTTTGTAATGTGTTTAATTTTTACGATTATTCTCGATTTTATTTTTTCAATACCTAAATTGATCATCATTTTAATTTTCGTTATAACCATTATTGGATTATGGCAATCAAAAATACTTTGTTAATGATTTATTTTAAAAATGTTTTAGTAAGTTTATACATGAATAAGAATTAATATTATTATATAATATTTTTTTACATAAAATTGAGTGTTTTTCACATATAATAGTTAAATTATAGTAATTATATGATCATAAGTAGAAATTCAATAAAAAACGTTGGCATGATTTTCAAAATATATATTTAAATATATAAAAATATAGATTCTTCTTACGTAATTTAGTTTTTAGTTATTATATTTTTAAGATAATATACACATACCTTAATACTTTATAGTTATAATGTATCTATTATTCTTATTTGTTTAAATAATAATAATATATCAAAATTTTTTTTTAATTCATAAAAACACAAGTACCTATATTATTTATGTTGAAGGTGCTTATATTATCAGTGAATCATAATATAATATTGTACCTAACTAAAAATTCTGCCAAATAGGCGTCCTAAACACAAGCGCCATACGCAAAAAAAAATATAATAAGTATTTTGAATTTTTAACATTTAAATTTGTTTGCTAAACAATACGATATTTTATATTATAGTATAATTTTTATAAAAAAAAAACCGATTCCCAAAGTGAAATTTATTAATGTGATTAAAAAAAACATTAAATTATATCTACGACTGTCAACTATACAGATTTGAAAATTGTTACTAGTTCGCATTCCTTTTAGTTTTTATTCATCCACCGTAATTTAAAAAATTATGTTATTGGCATGATTATCGGTAAACATTGCGAATACCGGTTGTTGAGTTAAACGTTTATTTGTGACCTACAGTTAATAAATTTATTCCGCACACGTAAAATAATTCCGGGCACGTAGTTTTAATAAGACAAAAGGAATGGAAATAGCACGTCATATCGTAATACATGTGTAACTCTGTAATATAAATTATGTATAGGTAATTAATTCTAAGTTGTAAATAATTTGGCTTACAGGCGTCACATAAAATAGAAGCCAACATTTCGATTGAATTTTCCGTTACTATCGTTATGCCTTTATAATATTATAAATTAATCAAATCATTACTAATTTTAAAATTAATTATATACTCACTTATGTATATAATACTATAATACATCAATTTAATCAGCTTACAATAAAATTAACTATGACTTTTTAAACCAATTTTATTCTAGACAATTGTTTTATTTATAACGCTTATCATCCAATTTTTATCAACAAATCGCTCTTTTTTTGTTTTCGCGTTTATTTACTAGATTAAAAATATAGAGTATCATCATTGTGCGATACTGTAAATAATTGTATTTTCTAATAAAGTAAAATAGAACACTGTTATTGAAATTTTATTGTATGTCATTTATTATACCATAATCTTTAATCGGAGACTGAAAAGCTGTATGGAAAAAAATGTATATTTAATTACTTCGCAATCAGTTGCGGTAGATCTATTTACATGACTAATACAACTTATCGTTGATAAAAATCACTGGGCAATGTATAATATTTCAACATATTCCGGTCATTGGCGTCATTTTCACATTAACATCTCTGACCGTAACATATTTTGAAATAATACAACCTAATCTTATAAACTTGAAATAAAACACACTAAGTAATAAAGCAATATTAAATCTATTAATGTGCATTAAAAATACTCTGTCGTTGTTTATTAATTCATTATCGTATAAGCTATAATAAATTATATAAATATAATAGTATACCATTTAAAAACAAGAATAAAATAGAAACTGAGTTGGTTGGGTTGTCTATTTATAAATCCCACACCTACCTACCTAGTAATGATTTGTTTTTAAATTTATACCTAAATATTTTTTCCTATTTTTTTTTTTATCGTAAAACAATATTAACATTATTCGAAAATTAGTTCTAAAGCTGAGTTCACAGCAACGTCATTTATCGTATCATGCGGCTTTTATCTTATTCTGATTAGTCGTGGTAATCATTGTATGATCTACTAACCATAATTTACTGGGTATTTCCCAAAGTTTGACTGAACTTAAATTTTAGATTCAACACGACGGACGACCATATTACGTAACTGTAAACCCGAATTTAGCAATTGCGGAAATGTATTTTTTCTTTTAAAGTTGGGCCAAACTGAGTTTAATTAAGTTACTGAACACACTTTTCAAACCTTAATAATCACGATAAAAATAATTTTTCATCTTTTATAAAAACTTTTGCCTGTTAAATACGATATTATTTTGATAAATTCGAATTAAACAACACGATAGACTACGGTTTACATTTGATATATTCCAATAGTGTGTTCAAATATATAGTTTTCGAAAATAAAAGAATCACTATTTAGCGTATTAATACATTACCATCTCTGGATAAAAATTCCAAAATCTCGTACACAACTGGTCTAAACGGAATCTAAAACCAAAAAACTTTTGATTTTTGAAAAAGATGATGGTTATCAAGGAAGAACCGCCGGACAAGGATAAAACGACAGTGACCACGGGACTAAACAATAACGATTATGAGGACGAGGACGATTTCGACGAGGACATGATAGACGACGACGGGTCTGATGGCGGAGCTGATGATCGGGAAGTGATTGGTAGTAGCTGCAAACGGTTGTTACCTCAACAACAGTCAGCGATATCGTGCACCACTAGCCCGGACGACTTGGTTGCCGCGGGACACCACCGTCAGACAACGCCACCACCTCCACCGCCGCCGTTATTCCACCGCGCCGCCGATCTGCACCAGCCACTGGTCCGGCCCGGGTTCTCGATGGTGCCAAACTCAATGTTCGGCCACAGCTTCATGTACATGAGCCAATGCTTGCCCGGCTTCAATATGGGCCGCCGACCGCAGACTGGCACTCCGCCACCGCCTCAATCGCAACAGTCTCAAGTAAGTCATCGTTCACTAACCATAATACTCGTAATATAATACTTGTTCACCATTGTTTCTCAACCAGTGTACTACTGAATAAGTCAAAATGTGTCATGAAGTATTTTAAATGACATAAAATATACAAACATTTCTAACATTATTTACAAAGACTAATAGGTAGGTATTTGATATAATTTCTATATAATGATTAAAAATTAGTTATTTGCAATCAATTTATTTTAAATATTGTATATTATTAGCAATTAAAATTAATAATATTACTCATTATACTTATTTTTTTTTATTATGTGTCGTAAAGTAGAAATATTTTAGTAGTGTGTTGCCATAACACAAAGGTTGAGAAACACTGTATTACACCACCCCAATGACATATTTGCTTCCAGTAGCTTGAAGGTAGGTATGTTGGTATTCGATTTGAGTAGATGATAGCTAAATTGCATCCGTAACACTCACTATATAATTATTGTCTGACAATCGATTCTAAGCAAAAACAAAATCGTACTTGGTATTTAATCCTCCAAATTCGAATCCGATACCAAGTTATTTTCCACTACTTTATAGTTGCAAGTTGCTAGTTTGCTACTTTAATTTCTATGTATAATTCCTCAGAATTATCGCGATTACCACGATATCAACATGTATTTTTTATAAATATGTTATGTTATTGTTCTAAACCGTGTTTTCAACTATTATATTATATCACTTTTATTGTATGTTCTATTAATTCAAATGTTTTAATTTTAAAGTAATGTTTATTTATTTAATTCATGTTATTACTAAGGAGAATAAGATGACTGTAGGATTTTAAATTGGATTTAAAGTTAAAATAATTATTTGTAATTTATTATGAATTACTAGCGACCACCAACACTAATAAATATTTGTCTTCCTTTTTATTTATTTGACAGGTTATCACCTTAATTTTAAACATCTTTAAAATATTTTTTTTCATAAATCACTATTAATGATATTAATAAATTTAAAAAATAATGGTATTCTTAAAATCTAATTTTCAATATTATGGTTGTGACAATAACCCAGATGAAACCTAAAACGAGATAGAATTGTGTCAATCACGATAAATTTGAAGTGTGGGTACTTCAAACTTGTTAGGTGACGTACAAAAGTATCATAGTCATGTCGACCTTTTTGATTTTTTAAATAGATTTATTTTTATTGCGTGTCATAGATATTTTTAAAATTGTACATGTTTGTAGTGTTAGAAAATTAATAAAAAAAAAAACTGAACAGAGATACGGTTTACGTGTTTGTGGTTAATTATAAAAACTCAGTAGTAGTAATTTATAACACATCGGTAACCATTAACCACGAAGACCAAATCTTGCTTATATTTAACTTCAATCGAACAAAATATACCTAATCTAGACGATATAAACTACTAAATTTTCTAAATGAGTGAAACGAAATAATTGAATGTAAAAAGTTTGGTAATTCATGAACTCTAAATAGTGAAGTATAAATTTCACAATAGTTTACCTTAAAATGACAAATAAAACGATGAAAACAAATATTGAAACACTCACTAAGTCGCACACCCAAATAACAACACATTAATATTCAATAAACAGATATTTATTTTTCAGATAAACGATTAAAGATAAAATATATTTGTTTATAAATATTATATTATTTTAATACCGTGGCATGCCTTTTACTGCAGCATGGCGGTCGCTATAGTACTACGGATAGAGTAACGCTTTTATGGATTACTTCTTTAAAAACGTCTCTGTAATTTAATATTTTGCAGTGAGTTGATATCGTGGTGTAGTTATTAAATAATAATCACTGAAGTGCAAAAAAATAAACGATTGTCGTGATTTTATTGTCTGAGTGCTCTGCCGAAGAGTAACGGGAATTCGAATATTTAAATTGTATTATTGTTCCATACGCTACACGAAACTGATATACATTTCTTGAATTAGGCTATGAAAAGTTGGATACTAATTTATATATTTTATTTGTTTGTAAGGTAATGACTAATGAGTATTTAAAATTTTAAATACGATGTGTTAATCAGAACACTCAGAACCATGCTTATCTAGCAGATAACCGTGGTTCAAACAAAAAGTATTAGGTATTGTGAAAACACACGCCAGTATATTAAACATATTATTTTCTTTGTATTAATAATAATTTTTTGAGCATTTAATCAGTAAACGTATAATTAAATTTTATAAATTGCAAATACTGAACTAAAAAGTAATTATTTACGGATAATCTTTAGATAGTCAAAAGTGTTTTAATCGTTAAATCATCTTCTGAGAATCCGCTTTAAATAATACTAATTTCACTCAAATATTAAGTACTTAATAGCTGATAAATTATCAATTAAAGCAATCATAGCACTTGATATAATACTTGACAAAAAGTAAAATAATAACAATATAGTTATACCTAATCACGGTAAATTTAAGTACTCAACTGAGATTAAAACATAGTATTTGATAACCATTAAAAATTAAAAATATTGTAATGGATTACTGTCAGAAAAAACACTACGGGGGGTTTTTTTTTTAATGATTATCGCAAATACCGATAGCACGATTTATTCAACTCTCGTTGATATAAACTAAAAATATTGCCTACGCAGTACTTCAAAATATGTCTTAAACGATATCAGGTCTTTTTTTGTGAATTAAGTAATTACACGTTTACATTGTTTGTACTCGAAATGTTATAGTTATAATTTATAAATAAAAAAATTAATAATTATTATTTCAGTTAAAAATGGACAATATTTTTTTTATCAATTAAAAAAAAAAAAATGTATTATTTTGAACAGGTTTTTAACTTAAATTTTTTTTTTTATTTACCAAGACATGCATTTGAGAATGAAGGTAGTTTTAAATATTTTTCTCTCAGGAAATTACTTTAAAGAAATTTATGATTAGTTAAAAATTAAAACATGTTTGAATATAATACAATATACTTTATTATTATTTCTTAACTACATGTGAAAGACGGCATCATTACCTTTTTACGTATATACATTATACATATTGCACGCAAAAGCAAAGTATTTCTGGTAATATGTTGGGAGTTCCTTGGGGGTAAAATTGTACATGGCTTGACACTGGTATACATAATACACATTTCACTGTAGAAACACACCTCTACCTAACCAAATTTCGAATGAATTTCTATTGTTTACGTGTATTGACAGGTGTCGTCTGCAGCCACCGCGGCAGGCCTGAATCTATCAGCGTTGGCCGAGGAGCGCCGGAAACGGAACCGGACGTTTATCGACCCAGTGAGTGAGGTGCCACGGCTCGAGCAGTGGTTCGAACATAACACGCATCCATCGCACAGCCTGATTGCCAAGTACACGGACGAGCTGAACCGGATGCCATACAGGCAGAAGTTCCCGCGACTCGAGTCAAAAAACGTTCAGTTTTGGTTTAAAAATCGCCGGGCCAAGTGCAAGCGACTAAAGATGTCCCTGTACGACGCCATGTCGCCGAAAGATCAATTCTCCATGCCCACGTATCTCAATCACGATTAATGCTACATTGTCCCAGCGGTTGTTTGAAAAGATTTCACAAATGAATAATTTTATAATAATATAATATATTGTAATTTTGTGAATTATACAAATTATACGATATTTTACGATAAAAAAAATATGTTATAGGTACACCGCGGCAATTCGTGTAGTGTGTACAATACTAATATGACATAATTATTTATTATTCGAGTATTAAATCACGTGTTAAGATGAAAAAAAATTAAGCTAAATTAATAAATTACGTGCTTAAAAAAAAAAAAAAAATTGAACAAAACGAGTAAATATTTAACGTGGTGCTCTCCACGACCCTCACATATTCTCTTTGTGGTCGAAAATATTTATTGTTTATTTTTCATTCAGTTTTCCTTTTTAGTTGTGCTAGTCAAAAACTTTACACTTCCTACACACACCTATACTATAAGCGCTTACTCATTATACAATTCGAAAAATAAAGTTTTATCTTCGATATTTTGTACTCGTATAGTCCTTCCTAGGATTTACTCGTAGTAATAACTAGGTACGTTAATGCTATCCCAGCCATTCACGTGAAACCGTTAAGCGATTTGAGAAGAAGCATTCATTCCAGAATACAAGTTTACATTATCTTATGTATATTATATTATAATATTATATAACGTTTTATGACTTTGTAAAGGTGTAACGTCTTGCAATATACGCGTTCACCAGCGCACTATTCGCTTCGGATTATTGACGAGCTTTTGCCGAGCTTAAACGTGACCGTTCGTCGACGGGATCCCGCTGTAAATATCGCACACTCATAATAATAACAATTTAATTATATATTAGTATAATCGTAATAATAGATACCGCCCGCATATGCTCATTATGTGACGCGCACATTTCTGTGGTCTTGTCACACCGCATCGTAACCCGTCATCATGCTGTTAACCAAAATGAACGGACCGTAGTTGTACTGTATATACGAGTAGTATGTATTATTTTCGATAGATGCATTCGACCCGAGTGATCCATCGGCCGTCGCCTAACCGTGCGTTCCGACATAGGTTTCGAACGATTTTAGTCAATGGGTCAACGGCCTTTAAGGACCCGAGGTCGGGACACGTCCCGTCATCTCCGCCACTCTTATTGCGGCGTTACATATGGAGGCCACTTGGGGATGACAGGATGTACGTTTAAGTGGAATTTTCGACCACTATCCTCCGATGAGTGTATAATGTATAGGTACAAGTCGAGACTTTATCGCGTTTATAATTAATATTAAATATTCATAGGTATAATAATAATATATAATAATATGTCGTAGTCTTATTTGTGATAGCTGTTAAATATTCATATTTTTGTTTGAATTTTAAAGCTTTTGAACACACAAACGAAGTAATACCAAAAAGAAAAAAAATTATTTCGCTGGCATAAGACACTTTGAATTTCACAATATATTGTCATAGCGGAATAAAAAGTTTTATATGTATTAAAAACTGTTTCCTAGCGGATCCCAATTTATTTATGTTTCTGAGATCTCGGTCTCTGATGGTTTGAATATCATACATCGAGAACTTTGCACTATCGATTTTTTGCATCGTTGTCCATTGATGATTTCTCTACCTTCCAGGACTGTCTGGTTTTCTACCTA